GGTTTGCTTTCTTTTCCCGTCCCTAAAATTAAGTCCGATCCCTATCCTTCTCCCACATTCTCACTTACCTCGTATGCAACATGAGTTTGGCACCGATCAGTGAAGTTCGCTTCACTGTATTACGCTGTACAATCATGATACTCTAAAATTTTTCTGTTTGTATTCAGAAAGAACTCACTATCCATTACTTTTTCTTCATGATAGTTGTTTTACAGCATTCGTTCTTTCACTGACCAACACACATTTCCCGCCGCTTCACTTGCAACCGATCAAACTTTCTTTTCACAGATGCCAGCAAGATCCGTTCAGTTTGGTTGAGGGTGATGTGAATTCTCAACAAATGACCCTACCCACTGTCTCAGACACTGGCGTGCCGTTGATCAGTGTAAGTTATTGTGGAAAATGGTGATGATGTCTCTGTCCTTGTGTTCAGACCAATTCACATATTGTTTCTCATCCCAATTTCTATCACCTTGAATCTAATTTCAGCTTAGTACCATTGCGCCCATTCGTGCTGCTCGGCCTCCACCAACCAACGAGCTACCGGCCATCCCGCCCCGACCGAAACCCATTCAATGAATAAACGCACGCGCACCCACTCCGCATAATCTCTCGTGCTCTAATCAATTCTGAGTGATATTTTAGTCAACGACACTTGTGATGCTTATATTCCCTTCAAGTTTTTGTCACTCGCTCTCTTTCTCTCTCTCTGTCACACAAACTGTTTATCAATAAAACACCTGTTCGCGCAAGCAGCAATTTATATCCAGATATACATTCCCTTGATACGTCTCTAGTTTCTCCGTGACTTCAATTTCCGTTCCTTTCTCTTCTTTTTTCTAAGAACAAAGTTACATGTGTGTATGCACTCTTCTTTTTTCGCAATTGAATATTTATCTCTCACATTCTGTTTGCATTCCTCGGGTTTATTTAATGTCCTCAAACCAAACCATGTCAGACCCTCATGTGTATGGGTCATACTCTCCTCTTTGCATTTGACCGAATGAAAGTTGCCAACAAGAGCCTGTGTTTTTGATTGATTTGTCATGAATAATGTAGCAGTAACAGCGGTGGATTGTACTGATGCTGGTGGCAACAAGAACGACAGTATTAGTTAGGTGCAGATAGCGTGAATCGAATCAACTTGTATAACCCACCCAGTTGTTTCACTCACATCTCGTTCCGATTGAGCGTTTATCCTCTACAATACGGGCGGCAGTCGGGACACCTGTTATGGTCTTCAGTCGAATCGGCCATGCCATCACAGTTCAGCTCGTGAAATCCACTCTATTTCACACCACCGTTCCAACCGCGTTACTCAATGTGCATGCATTTACCAGCACCACTGTAGATCTCTCTGTTGTTGCCGCTGTTACGTGTCTTCTTCTTCATTTGGTTTATTTGAATCCCGTCGTTTTGCAAATCCTCATTGCCTTGACCTTTTTTCTACCTGGATTCGGAGGGCAAACCACAGAGCAAAAAATAATCAAACTCTCCCCCTACTACCCCAGTGCTAGTGGGCCGTTATATGATTCGCCACTCCACGTCCCAAAGCTTAGGTGGCCGGGTTTCATGAGTGAAAAGTAGATTCTCGTGATTAGGCGTCCACACCGTCTGTGCATCGAACAACAATGTGTATGTAGTAAAAACATGTATTTTCTGTGTCTTCTCGGAACACGTGATCCGGTAGACCGCGAACAGGTTCCGGCACTCTTGTGAAGGGGTGTGGAACTTTGTCGTTCGTTGCTAAAACTAAAGCACCAATAATGGATGGACACGTTTACCTAAAGGTGATACCCCAAATTAAACAGTTTCTCTGGGAGCTAAAGCGTTTAACCAGAATGCGGCATTTCGACCTTTTGCAATCGGTAAATTCTCGATCGCCAAGTCAGATTTCCTTGAACGCACACGACCCGATACTGCAGTTATTGTACAAACATCAGTAACTTGACGTTGCGGCAGGTTCGCTCCAATACCTGTGCTATTGGAGTTTTGCGTGGTTTTCTACTGCAAATTTCAGCCACCTCTCTGTTCGCTGACTTCCGTAACTAAGGCTTTCATCACACCAAAGTGTGTGATAAAATCAAGCTTGCACTCATAACAATAAATCACAAAAGCTCCTCGAGAAGATGAAAGGCAGGTGAACGTGTTTCTGTTTAATTTCCTTCTCAAGCCAATAGGTTTACATTATTAAAAGCATAATAGGGACCGGATGTGGTTTGTGTGCGTACGCGCGCGAGCGCTCGAACGGGGATGGGTGTACAAAAACGGTTGTATGCGCACGCAACGGTGGGTGTGCAATTCTTGACATCATCCACGTTGGTTTACCAAATCTGTGATGCTACTTGCTTAGGTTGTACGATAAGACAACCGTCCAAAATAGTGTCACTCATGTGAGCATAGACTCGGGGATATCGGGTCGTTAAACGTTTATTGTTGCACCCTTGATCCGGATCGGATGGTTATTCCGTTTCCAGTATCGCCTACGGAAATCCGTTTCACCAGGGCAGAGCAATA